AGCTATCGGAGTGTAGATTTTACTTACATTTTACCCACAACGCTGTAATGTGAAAGCCTCTCCTGATTGGATGTTAACTGAATGGATTGTCTAGTTAGTCACTACATATTTATTGTAAGGCTGCAGGAGACTGTACACTTAGAACAAGTGTTTGGCCAGCTTTACCTTAGATTTGAAGTGTTAGCCATCGGTATATTTTGAGGCAGTTTTAAAAAGGAGAATTATGAGGCGAGTGATTTTCACTCAGCCTCCAAATCTGAGCCGACCTGTGACAATGAAACTGTCACAGGTCGGCTCAGTAGATCGGGAAGTGAGCGAACACATACCGGCGCTCGCTCACTTCTCGATCCTGTGCCGGCAGAGAGCCGTGACAGGGGAGGGACTGGATTCCCCCCTCCCCTGTCTGATCCTCCAGCGCCGACTGGCGGAACAGACAGACGGGGGAGGGGGCGGGTACAGCTGTCTCTGCCTCTAGATAGGCAGAGCCAGAGGTCACTCACGCAGCTGGGTGGATCCAGACATAATTGTCGTGATCCGTTTCTGCTGCGGCGTCTGAGTGTACCGCGAACTGTAGCTTGCGATTTACTGAGCTTTGGGTGATGGGAGGACGCTAGTTTGTGTCCTCCCGTTACCCTTCGGAGAACTATGGGGAAAAGCTCTAACCCCATAGTTCTCCTTTAAAGGCGATTGTGCAGAAACCATACAATCAGCCATCTTGAGTGATGAATACTCAAAGCATAATTAAACCCTCTTGTTATTTTGCATGTATTTACTGCTAGCGAGCAGTAGATTTATGCAAAAACATTAAAAAATAAGTTACCAAAAAGGTCAAAACGGTCAAAAAAAAAAAAAATGATACTTAACCCCAATTCACACACAAACAAGTGCGACAAAACGTTCAGCACATGAATTCACATTGATTTGAATGTCGTCGTCGTCGTCCCCGTTCACACCTGAGTGTCTCACGCAGGGTACAAAACATCTGCCACCTGGAAAAAGTTCCTGTGCTTCTTTGAGGCATTTTAAAGCATTTTGCCTCAAAGACTTCAATGGAAAAGCCTGAAAAACATGCAACACGTGCTTTGCAAATTTTTGTGTGCGTTTTTATGCGCGTTTCACCATTGACTATAATGTCTTTCAATCTGCCGGGTAAGATGCGAGTCTTCATGTTCAAATGTGGCCAACGCACATAAAAAGGTGCAAAAATGAGCAAAGGACGCCAGGCGAAAGCGCTTTCAAAGACATGCAAAAATGCTGATGCCTAGGTGTGAATGTAGCCTTAGGGAAATGGCCCACAACAGATTCTATGGCAGTTCTCGAGGGCAGCCTGATACTGCAGCTGAGGACATTGAAACAACTCTTCCACTGGGTTCTGTGGTTGCGGAGACCAGGCGTCCAGCATTCCCGGAAGAGTGTCAGACGCAGAAGATTCTCCGACAACCACAACTAGCCACAGAGCACCAATAGGACTCAACACCTGCAGTCTCATATGGGCAGATCTCACTACATTCCCTACCTAGCCACCAGGACAGAAAATAAAAGGCATTTCGAATAGTATAATATTCAACCCCAATCTAGTCCAACATGTGCCAGATTAATGGATTCTACATCAGCCCTAATGGTACCAAAGGCTTCTATATTCCTTGTCTATAACACATGACAAGTCAGTGTAAGCACGTGCTTCTCTTATTTACATATATATTACACCAGGAAAGTAATAAGACACATATATAGGTGACACACATACTGCAAGGAATGAATGGTATTAAGACACTTACTCTTCTAGACTTCGGTCACAAGAGGTAAGAGCATTGACAAGAAAAGGAAAACACATTCATGAGTAACAGGTTGAAGTTAGCAGTAACACAAATCAGAAAACAGACCATGTTATAATACAAACACAACAGTGGTACAGTGTGGGTCAGCCAAGCAGAGTCTATCTACATTTGCATTATATCATTATGTTGCTTCCACAAAAAAAAAAAAAAAAAAAATCATCCAGGCAGCCTTTTTTGTCTAGATAAAGTCAGCCACTGGCTCCTTCCATCTCTAAGGAACCCCAGGGGTGAGATATCATCCCTAGGTTTCCAAGCTTTTTCCATTCCATGGGTTCTCACTCTTCTAGCTGCTTGCACCATCAGGTAAAATATATAAAATCCAACAGAGGCAGTGAGAATTCTACTTACTGCCTGTTTCGATAAAGAGTTCTCATTCTTAAAGCGACCCATCATTATTTTTAGAAGTGGAATACAGCAACTCCTTGCAAAGAAAGCTACTAAACACTCACCTGTCCTGCTACCTGTGGCACCAGCTGGGTTCAAAAATGATCTTGGAGTGTCCGATGCCGGCATCCCCTGCTGCATTGTATGGTTTCAGCCGCTGGCCACTACCGGCTTGATGAAGGAACCACGAATTGCAGGGGGAACAAGCCATCTGACACACCAGCAAATTTGCTAGATGGTGAAGAGCTTTAAGCAAGATTATCTCTTCAACACAGAAGGGACAGGTGTGCATTAACTGCATGATTTATATGGAGCTGCCGTTTTTCCCTTTTGAAAATAGCAACAAGATCGCTTTAAGTGATATAACCAATAGCAACCAATCTGAACCCATCTTGCATTTGGTGACTTCAGCTGATTGGTTGTTATTGTTTTACAACACTTAGAAAATCAGAACTCATCCATGAACAAAGCCAGTAGAAGGATCTAAGACTTGCAGAGATTTTTTTTAGGCACCACAGTTCACCAGCTTACTAGTAAACTCAGTTTACTAGTAAAAGTAAGCTGAACTCATACAAGACATGAGAATATCTGATTAAGGGCTAGTTCACACCAAACGCGGAGCAGAGCAGTTACAGAATGGATCAAAACTGCGTCCAATGTATTCCAATGTCATTTTGGGCTCTAGTTCACACCAGAGCGTTCCGTTCCAGGAGCATGTGGAAAAACTGCAGCATGCCCTATTTTTTCTGCTCTGGAATGCACCAAAATCGCCTTGAAAACACGTCAAAAACGCATGCACGCCATGGAATGCACTGAAAGCCCATTTTAGGCTAAAAAAAATATATGAGAAGAAGCATTGAACGCGTCAAAACACCGTGAAACTCATGCAGATCTGGTCTGCATTTGGTGTGAACAAGCCCTTATAATCATGTTTTATTTGAAAACCTTGTTTGCATAAACGGTTACAATAATAATAATCCATTGCCAAGAGACATCATATGCAAAAAGGCCAGCACAGGTGCACAGACTCAGGGGGAAAAAAAAAAGAACATCCCTCAAATAAATGAGAAAATTAAAGTTGGGCAAGAAATAAAAAACGGACAATAAAGTAAATAACAGCTTATTCATGCATTTTATGATTATTTTATTAAAAGGTTATTAAAACCACAAACCTAGAAAACAAGCCAGAGTTACTGGCATTCCTTATACAGCTAGACTTGGATCCCTTCTGTGAACAAATCTGCAAGGCTAGGTGAACCATAAGAGTCTTACAATCCGCATTTTCTGTCTAGTAGTAACTCTGCTCATCTGGCCCCTTTGCACAATACATTAGCAGAAATGGAAGGGGAGGGAGCAACAGAGACACAAATACGGACTAAGCAAAGAAAAACTATAAACTCTGTCTAAGCAGGTTCTTGACAGATGGACTGTGTAATCTAATGGCAATACTTTTATGAAGGTTTTTTTCTAACCATATGGGTCATGGTAAACCTAGTATTACTTGGTCGCATTCAACAGGTATTATTCTGTAATGTTGGAAGAGATTATACTACTCATCCAAGTGGTTTCCTCAGTTAAAATGAGTGCCAGAAACTTAATAATAAGAGCATCAACACCTACAGATTTCTCGTAGTCCCTCTACAAAGTCGCACAAATCCCTGATGATCCTACCAGTGAAGTCCACCTATTGCGGCTTCCAGTAATGGGGTGGTAACAATGCTGAACTGCTCCTTAGTTTAGAGCACTCTCATAAAAAATGTTGCATGGGGTGAGGACATCAGCATTCTTACTGTTCATTCACAAGCTTATCAATCAGCACCAAGACATACCTAAGTCACTATCACTGCTTTCTGGATTGATAACACTGACTCGGTTGGAAAAACTATGCCACTGTGCGCTGGACAGCATATGAGACGGAAAAGCAAAAGGGGTTTGGACCAGTCAGGGAAGAGAAAACAAGTTTTTTTTTAAAACTAGTTTTTGAGGTTTGTGCATCACATAGTAACTGGTTTTGGTGATTGTTTAGACCGTGATTTAGTTCTACTTTAATCCAATCGCTATAGGGTCATGAATTGTTGTCAGAAGTCTTTTAACAACTAAAGGAAGAGAGACGTTCTTTAGAAAACAGTAAGGTGCACAGTTCAGAGAGAACAGCTGGTTAAAAGGCCACTAATGTCCCTAAACAGGGGTTGGGACCTTTGTCAACCTCTATCACTCGCATATATAGGCATATTTTAAATCTTTACCCCTTCAATGTGACAATTCACATGTAACTCATACTATTAAGACCAGTCCCCAAACTTGATGGCACCACGGTGATTGTATTATGGAAGAGGGACAGGGTGGTTTCCCAAACCTTCACACCTTTGATCATGGTATCGGTTGATCATTATCTGTCCTGGCACAATACATGACACCATGGTAATTAGATTGAGGTAACAAACACTGAGCCATTTTCCTGACATTCACTAGAGCTGAAGAAACCTATTAGATGAGTGGTGAAGCATATTTTTCAACATTACAAAAGAAAAGCAGTTGTATGTGACTACTAGTGTAACAGCAGCGCTACATTAAAAGTATACATCATGCTGCTTTCAATAGTGTACCCAGCTTCAAACTTCCACGATGATTATGAAGTGATATGGTTTGCTAATAATCTTAACAGGCTTAGATGGTCTTACTAAATGGTGAAAGGTAGATCTAATGCCTAAACGTGACAGGTACACTTTAAAACACAAACAGCGAATATTAGCCTCCATCAGAGTCTCACAAGCTCACCTCCTTCTGTTCCACTTGCAGTGCAGTTTTTAAGATGTCTCTAAGTTGCGTCAGTTGTTTCCTTTCTTCATCCTGGACTTGTTTGATCTGAAAGAAAAGAGATCGAAATTAAATCATGTGTAATGAAAAATTTTATATTTTGTGCTTGGACAAAACTGAGAAAATCCAGGAACCAGGGAGAGGATACCAAGAGTGTAATTCCATACTTGTATACAAAAATATCTGATCTTCAGCTTAATAGCTAAACTCTCAACACATTTACAGGAACTCCTTTTACCTGCCAAATGACCTGTAATGTAATGTGACTCTTATAATCTGCCCCTCCACGCCGATATCCAGCTTTCTCCCCACTGCCTACACTTTGGACCAGCAGTGACCACCATCATAGGTCTAGTGATGACCATCCTGAGCCCTCCTTCTCCTGTAATCTCCACCAACTACCATGGCTTCCCTCCACAAGACAAGTACCCTCAGTTCAAGCCAGATTACAGAACTTCGTCTGGTGTCCAGCAGCTCATTATAAATACAGATGTCAGCTATTTACATTAGTCAAAATGAAAAACTATTTTTCGAATTGTGCAACCAAAACTTTTTTTGCTTAATATAGAATAGAGGAGTGTTAGAACCCTTGTCATGATTGTTGTCTGTGTCCCCCAGTGGGAGTCATATTTGTCCTGGTACCCACTGTCCAAGGTACAGAAAGTGATGCCAAATCCAAACTTTTGTCTCAGAAATAGAAGGCAAGGGGAAAATTTCCAATGGAAGATTTGGTATGGGATTGCTACGGGGTCATTTTTCTGAGAGGGGATATCCCATCACTTTGCAATGATTAGGGCCAATTTACACCATAATGTGTTGGGGCTGCGCTGGCCATTGTTTGCAGTGCAGCCCCAACACAATACAAGGTAGTCTGACCCGGCACGGATGGGCTTGGTTCACGCCATTGCAACGTCCAAAGTATGGCATGCAGTACTTCTTTTTGTAGCACAGTGGGATGTGATGCAGTACAACTGCCTTAATAAAATGTCACTGGAATGTCAGCAGTAACCCCCCCCCACCCCCCCAAAAAAAACCAACACGTTTTGCAAAGAAGCTG